GTGCGGGATGACAGCACAGTGCGCAGGAGGTCGGTTTCGAACACCAAAGTTGCCAGCCAGGTTCGATTCCGGCGGACGGCAATCTTTGTCTTATCCACGAATTCCGTTAAGCAAATAACTGAGTACACGATATCTCAAACCGGGGTTACTCAGTTGGCAAAATCGAAAGGTCCCGGGTTGAAGACTTAGCATTTTCCTTCTGATTTTGATAAACGAGTACCATTCAGCTGGGAAAAACAGAACACTACACCCTACATTTCCATATTGTTGTTGTCTATTCCGGCAGTAAAGACTAAAACGCTCCTGGCTAATAGCACAGCAACAAGGATTAGCGCTCCAATATTAAAATCATGAAAAGAACGGCGTCAGAAATAGCCCTATGATCCTAAAGCGTAAGTAAGATTATCACTGCAGCGGTTACTTATCTTTCCTTTTTTATGCATCATCTGCAGCGCAGGCAACATAAGAATTCATCTTGCTCTAGAATAAAGAAATCTGATGTACAGAAAATGCTTATTCAGACTATTTTCGACATTAACCGCTGAAGGCCTACATTTTCTAAAAGACGCATTTCTTGTAAACATGTACAACGTTGCATTAGCGTGTTGATAACCACTCATCGTTTAGCCTTTACCTCACTTCACCAGAGGAGTGAAACACAAACGGCAACTTTCCCCCTGGCCAACACACTACTTCGTACGTACGTTAATAACCAGCAAAAACTACAGGCGCTGATTAGGATTAATTAGTTATTTCCAGTATTCCTTCTTGCAATCTGTGTCGACGTTTTCTTAACGATCTGTTCCCGAAACTTCGATTTTCGCTTGCGATCCTTCCCTGTTAATGCTACGTAAAATGACGTCATTTTGCTTTCCCCAGCAAGTTTATTCATAAGCTACTCTGACTGTGACATTTCTGCTACTCCGTCAGATCTAATACAGACTTACATGCTGTCCTCTGATTTACTCTATAATGTGACTCTGAAAATTTGATTTCGTCTAAGAATTAAAACAAAACTTTGAGCAGCTAAGCAATTATTACCTGATGAGTCTCTAACGGCTTTGTCAGAAGCAGGTCGCCAAGTATGTCTAAACAGTACCGAGCCATCTTCAGTTGATTGGATTTACTAAACGACAGCTGTAAGGCAGTTTCTGCAGTCTAGGCAATCATACAGTACCTGCAGTGGTTTTCAAACGACAAGATGACCGGATAGTTAGACGTGACGAACGCAGTGTCCCTGATCGCCACAATGACATCCTAAGATATTACGCGCCAAAGTTTGCCTAAACGCTCCAAAAACAACGAACAGCTATCAGTACCTTGAACAAGATATCGGTGCACATCGCTTTGCCGTGCGTGATTATAGGTACGTCCTTTCCACTGCCACCATCCCAACAGTCCAGTTCAATACACCTAAAATATTTGATCGCTAGATTATACAAATCCGTGTGTCATGGATACGTCACCAAATATAATCGAATGTTGAAGAAAATCAAGTAACAAGCTAATAGAAAATAAGCACATGCGAAGACAAACGAACAAGAGTCAAACCACATAAGATACACTGATCATTTCAAAGCCTCCAGATAAAAGTATAAGCAAGAATTGAAGATTTGAGCGACCTAGCATAAAGGCAGGTTTAAAAACGAGTCTGCATAAGAGTATACAGTCATTTACACAGTAAAGGGTCAAAGTCAATTGACTCAGGTTTGGAGTGATGAAAAACTACATTCATCTGGGATAACCGATATCTGAAGCAGTTGCAACCGGTTCTACTGATAAATAAAACAGAAGGTTCACTGAGCATTGGAAGATTGAAGATGTTCACATGTTTGAGAAACTGTATTTGACGGTAGGTGATTGATCGGTGCGTTCCAACCAGGGTTCAGGCGAATGCGAAGCACAGCCTTAAGTGTCAGTGCAATTCACTAACTACAAACAAAATAGCACGGAAAGGAATATATTGAAAACGGCATGAACAAACAAGACGAACGAGCGGATAGGACCAAAACAAGGATCTGTTATGACACTGCAAGAAAGAAAAGACTTAAATGGCACAGGTAAGACATGCTGTGGTAAGAAAGAGCCATCGCTGGACCAAAGAAATATTTTACTACCAACAGAGGGAGCAAACGGTCCATGAAAGACAAAGAACTGCAGAGGTTAAGTAGAGGAGCGTGCATCGCAGAGGAATGTTTCATAGTCAAATATCAGAGGATCATCTTCAAACAAATGGTAAAAACATTTGACGATGGCATAAACTAATATTCAGTAATGGGCATACAAAGTTGAAATTAGCCAAGAGAAGACAGCACTCAGGTGTAGATGGAATCAGTAACACATACTAAACCTTCGTATAAACTCAGAAAAAATTGATTACCTGCTTAGCACACGTTTATTCAATCTGCGAGAGTTACACAACATTCAGAAGACTACATAAAATTTACAAATTTAATTTATATACTTAGCACGCCAAGAAAATTATTAATGAATATTTAATTTCTTAAACATACTAGTTTGTCTAAATGTCTAAGCAACGCAACAGAAGAAAGAAGGGCATCGATCACTTAAAGTGATCGGGTCCATTTAGTTTCAACAAGTACATTTCTTTAGGTTAACACTGAAACGTAAACAACGCACTGATGATAACAAAGGCTGCATGGCACTGGAAACGAACAGTAAAACTATCTATATGTTTATCATTTAAATATCATTTAAGAAATTCAGTACCAAAGACTATATGATTAAAAATACCAGTGTAATGAAGACATATCAAAAAATATGTTAGGTATTGACATCATGAAGGGGCCGTTTCATACACACTTAGAATTACACACATGAACTGAATGTATTCCGCTAAGGTATAGAATTAGCTTGGTACTTGTTCAGTGAAAGTGCCACCCCAAGGACTGTAAGGAACAACAGACACTGAGGAGGGTTAGCATCAAAAACTCTACGAAACCTGAAGTCTCTTCCCTTAATCTGACCGAGAACTGAGCAACAGCATTTAAAGCACTCTAAGAATCAAGTCATGTCAACATACCTACAGCC